TGCATCATTATTGAGGAGAATCACCATGTTGTAAAATCAATCTTCATCTCATTAATTTATTGAACATGGAGATAGTGGAAGACTTTTCCATGTTTCTTTACTAGTAAGTCCACTCTTGGAATTATCTGTTCACATTGCTGTGTATCCATTCATTCCTTTTTTTTTTTTGTTCTGTAAGTTCCTCAACTCTTATATTCACTACAAGTATTTTTTTCTGAAGTATCTGCTTCTCCCTACTGGAAGCTTTAGATTTATTCATGTAATATTGTACCTTTTGATAAATATTCTACTTTATGTACTTATAGTGTTTCTCTGGTCATATTACGAATTTCAGCCATCTGGAATTTATCTTATGTGCTTAAGGATCAATTTTAGGTCTATAGTGATATACTAGAAGCATTGCTTTTTAAAAACAAGTATATTGGCTTTGCACCTGTAGCACGGTGGTTATAGCATTGGCCACATACACTGAAGCTGGTAGGTTCGAACCCGGTCTGGGCCTGCTAAACAACAATGACGAAAACTGCAACCAAAAAATAGCCAGGCCTTGTAGTGGGTGCCTGTAGTCCCAGCTACTTGGGAGGCTGAGGCGAGAGAATCACTTAAGCCCAAGAGTTTGAGGTTCCTGTGAGCTGTGATGCCACAATACTTACCAAGGGCAGCATAGTGAGACTCCGTCTCAAAAAAATAAATAAAAAAATTAAAACAAGTATATCTTCTCCATCCCTCTTATGTTTTGGAAGTTCTGAGCAAAACAGACATGAAATAGAGTAAAAAACAGTCAACAGAAAAAATTGGCAAATAGTTCTAGAAATCCCTGTTTTAGCATTATTGCTGTCTCTAATGAGGTCAGATAAAAGATAGTCAAAAGCAATAATCATTAGAACATATAAAAATTAGATTTTATTCATTATAAACAATTAGAAATATGAAATAACTAGGAATAGGGTGGTGCCTGTGGCTTAGTGGGTAGGGCACCAGCCCCATATTCTGAGGGTGATGGGTTCAAACCTGGCCCTGGCCAAACTGCAACCAAAAAATAGCCGGGCGTTGTGGCAGACACCTGTTGTCCCTGCTACTCGGGAGGCTGAGGCAAGAGAATAGCCTAAGCCCAAGAGCTGGAGGTTGCTGTGAGCTGTGATGCCACAGCACTCTACTGAGGGAGATAAAGTGAGATTCTGTCTCTTAAAAAAAAAAA